CATTTGTCTTTTTCTAAAAAGTGAGCCGGTAGTAAGCGAGTTTCTCGAATCGAATTCGCCATTGCGATAGATTTTTTCGTTTAACCTAAGGTCGACTACTCCGTGTTCGATAAAATGAATTTTTCTTCAAGGACTATCGGGTTTGTAAAACACCGAACCGTTGACCGGCCGATGACATTAGATTTTTTTCTTGCAAGATGCAACGAACTTTATATATACCGATCGTCGTCGATTCTCATGGACAAGCAGCGCAATTTTTCTTCGCGATTTTCTTCCTCTCGTCATCGTCCATTCGTATTTTCATTCTCACTGCTTTCTTTAATTCGTCGATTTGATCGCGATTTTATTATTTCTTTCTTTTTTATCCTTTCGTCTTTCTCTTTTCACCTATTTTTTTTTTTTTTTTTTTACTTCGTATCTATCTTCAACAGTTTTTGCGTATCTCTTCTCGATAAACGTAAGATTGCAATTTTTTACATGGCAATTGGAAATGGTGAAATTTTTGAAAGAAAGGTTAATGATGCAAAATTGGCGCGGATAGATACTAGACTATCTATCTCTTTCCTCTAATTCTTGTGGTAAGCAGGTAGAACCAGGGCAACGATCGACTGGGGTCATTGGCTGGATCCAGTTATCAAGGTTAGGGTCCTTTTCTTTGCTCGCGAGAGATCATCGTTTCTCCTCGATAAATTTCTCAAGTTTGTTCACCCGTGTGCGAGTCACATCGTAGTCACACCAAGTATCAAGACTTTGCCAACAACTTTTACCTTTCATTTTTAGCTTTAATTTATATACCATCGGATTCGATGAGGCGTACTAAATTTAAAAGCGTTAAAATTCTCCGATAAAAAAAAAAGATTAGATTATAACGTTATCGATTTCGAGGAAGATTCAAAAATCAAGAATATATCTCTCATATGAATCGAAATCGCAATTTTCCGACAATTTTTTCTCTCTATTATGCTGCTTATATCGACGAACAAATAAATTCTCTCTCGCTCACACACAGATATAAATGCAATATCCGTTTTTCTCGAAGCGTGCCCTATTGGTCTGCCCTGTATCTCTCGCATCGCATTGCGAGAGCCGTTTCTCACACGGGAATTCGCAGATTCGACGGTCGAAACCACCAAACGTGGCCAAGTGCGGCCGACGACCGCGACTTTCTCCTTTTATGCTAATTTCGTTAATACGCTATTTTCACGACTTTCGTACTTCGCAGACATGCCATTTTACATCTGCACTGTGTCCGATGCAGGACAGGCCGATGAACCGAAAACGAAATATTCTCGGCGAAAGGAGATAATCGAGAAACAGTTTATTGCTCGTGCTATTACGTAAAAACATATCGAAGCATTTCAGAAAGTTTAATGAATTTGACGATGATTACGGAGGATGGTACGAACGTGAGCTCGCATACATATTATTATTCACCGATTAAAAAACGGTCTTGGACCATGATCGAGGAATAATTTAGAGATATTTTACACGCGTACGTATATTATTTGCGTCGTATCTACGTCTCACGTACGATAAAATATGTATATAATCCTATTGAACAATCTCTCTAAAACGGTCCTCCCATTTGAATTACCAATTAATTCATCGATATACGCATCGTATACACACATACACACCGTGGTCGTCGTCTCTCTCTCCCAGAGCGTAATGTATGCGAATAAACCTTGGTGCGAGCGACACTCTACGGTCGTGATACTATACAAGAGTACCGAGTTCGTTGCCCTATAAAAGAAGGTAGGTGTATTGGCCCCGAATGCCGTTTCTGGGTTTATTACTTCAGTTCGATCGCAAACTGCCGCACCGTCTATACCTTGTAAAACCGTCCGTATTATTTTGACTGGCAACTGAACTGGCGAGTAGAGAAGTACGGTGAAAGAAAAAAAAAGGAAAAGAAAGAAAGAAAGAAAGAAAGAAAGAAAAAAAAAGAGAGAAAAAAATTATGGAACACGCCTTTCGAAATTTCTCCTCGAGATGTAATACATCGGATACGACGAGGTAATACATCGATGAAAGCATTTTAATGTCTTTTAACCTCATCGTGGCTTTACACGTTATACGTTATAAGAATATTTCTAACAGGCAGAACGTACCCGCTGCCTTTGCCGTCTTACTTTCTCTTTAATTCCCTTTAGACCCTCCAGTTTCTATACTTGGCGCGTAAATTTCCTTCCTCCTTTGTTTCATTCTTTCTCTTTCATACTTTCACATCGAAAATATTCAATGTGTAATAAAAAAAATGGGGGGGGGAAAGAAGAAAAAAAAAAATAAGCAACCACGTACATTATAGCCGAGACATTTCGACGTTGTTATCAACAACACATTATAAAAAAGATCAACATTATTCTTAGATATTTAAAAAGTTGGAAGTTAGTCCCCTCTTACTTGGCAAAATAATCGTTTCAAGATGTATTCTGCACCGTTCGACAATTTCTTCGTGCCTACTTAATTACGAGTGAATTAAATTAGTTGAAAAAAAAAAAAAAAGTCGCGTCGATCCAATATACGGATCGGTAAATAAATAATAAGTATTAAACGAGAAACGAGAGAATGAATGATTAAAAATTCGAAAATGAATTTTTGAATTCACGATTCAAGAAAATATACCTATATACGTTCTCAACGATGACGATAGCGGTAGCAATTGGCAGTGGTGGTGATAATGGTGGTAGCGGTGTCACCTCTGGTGTCTCTTCTAGTGTCGAAGCTGCTGCTTCGTAAGCATGGGTATACGGTACAAAGCTTCTTAGTGGGGATGGAGGACACTTTCACTCTCACAGGTGTATGACCGAGTCGAGAGCTCGGAAATACTTGTATCAACTGAACGGTGGGTTGAAGGGTGGGGAGAAGGAGCGTGGAAAATGGTGGGGGCAAGAGGCGACCGTCCAAGGAAAAGATAGGAAAGGATAATGCGAAAAGAGACGAACGGTTTGGAAAACGTTCCCTTCGCCGAGTAGAGAGAAAAGGAGATGGACGAAAAAGAATGGACGCACGCAAGGAGGAGAGAAAAGAAGAGGAAAGAGAGGAAATTAAGTTCAAAGAGGCGGGGAAAGGAGAAGAAAAGAAAAAAAAGAAATGCAAAGAGGAATAGAAAGGAAAACGTAGTAAGCAGATAGGAATTTATGGCTCGGGAAACAGGAGGACATTGTTGTGCGTGGTCCGCTAGATAACGGCCCAATGTCCACGTGCTTACACGTACCGATCAACGTGCATCGCCATTTTTTTTCTTCTTTCCTTATTTCCATTTCATATCGCGTAAATTCGTTACCGATATCGAAAAAAAAAAAGAAAAAAGAAAAGAAAAAAAGAAATGCGAGAAAGAGGCGAAGATAAATCGTGCAAGTATCGTGCAAGCGATACGATGGAAAGAGAGGGATAAAAGGGGGAGAGAAAAGGAGATGGAATTCGAAGAGGCTGGACGAGGTCAGTGAACTTCACTGAAAAAGTATGGTTTTTTGTGGTGAGTGTACGCTACTACCGAAATACGTTTCTGACGCGACAGGACGTTCCCGCCGATACTTCCCAGTGGATCCTAGTGGGTTCCAGTGGGTCAGTGGTTCACGAAGAATCGGCATAGTGTAGTCCATACGTGCAAGAAAGATATATATACTTTTGCAATATATCATTTATTAAATATTTATTTATTTACAACGTTCTTTTTTCCTAAAATCTAATTTAAATCAAGTAATTATCGACTTTTCGATAACGTAATTTTTCTTCTAATGCAGAGAGGATCGTATGATGGAATCTACGGATGTTATTACGATTATTTTTTAATGTAGATGTTTTAAGGTAGATACGAGGAATTTATAAGTGGAATATTAAATGCAACAAATGGCCGAGTAATTATGAATAAAAGTGTTGAATTTGAAATAAGATAGACATGCGAATATTTGAAGAATATTTGATCATTGGCCATTGGTGCTTGAAAAAGGCGTATATTTTTCGTAACAGACGCGAAAGAAGCATTCTGCTTGCTTGCGGTTCCAAGAAATCCGGTTAGAATTTAGGCTATGTGGAGCTCCTACTCGAATCTGGAACAGGCTGGTCATTGACCTTGCTTCGATCGCTCTTTGAAAAGATTTTCAAGCGCGATTACGAGTTTACCCATGATTATCTTTGAAAAAAAGGTATCAGATATTCCGTTTCTTCGAGCAATTTCCGTTTCAAAAAATTAAAAAAAAGTGATCGAACTATTGCAAAACGATTAAGACGCGAGAATGATCTTTCGATTAGAAATTCAAATCCCGAACTGTTTCATCGATGCTTCGATGCTTTTGTCGAACATCTTGATCGATATGAAAAACCTATAAAATTTGAGGTTATGTTGCTCGACAATTAAAAAAGATACAGCAAGGAAACAAGATAAAGATCTCTAAAGCGATTCCGAATTACACACAGATGACTACCGAATCATTTTGACCTACATATGATATACCATACTATATATAAATAATATCAAAATATCGTTGACATCGGATTTTTGATAATTCTTCGTATTATTTTTAAAAAGTTAAAAAAAAAGAAAAAAACAAAATTCGCAAAGGCACAAATTTCACTCTTTACTTTCTTTTTCAAGAAAGAGTCAAATCTTGTTTGAACACTGGAGAAATCAAATGTGAACGTATTTATAGACATTGACGTTGCAATAATGCGATATCGTTCTCTTTACTCCCTTTAACGAACTAATTGTATCCCAAAAATGTGGGAACATTTTAATTCGAGACCCTTGAGTTAATTTTAGATTACATTTTCGTTTGCAAAGATTTTCGTTTCAGCTTTAACTTAACACGAGTTATTATTGGCCAATCAGTAGACTAAATAACCATTTAGATAATAAATTAGTATTCTCTTTGCGGTCTCGTTATCATTTAATTTGCATTGATATATATATATTATTTTAGAAGAGAATGTAAAAGCCTTAAAGAGAACGGAAGTATATTGTGTTTCGCTATGAATTTTTATTATTCCTGATATATGATAAACTTTCGTAAACTCGATAATATAAATTTAATATAAATTTAACGAATTATTTTCAAGTTGACAAGAAAAAAAGAAAAAAAAGATTGACTTTGAAATCGTTAATCTTGTGAATTGATTCTCATCATCCATACATATCTTTGTTACTTATCTCTTAACACAAACATGAATAGATATTAAAATATAAACAATAAAAAATATTTCTCGACCAATTTCTTCTATAACGTTCGTTCGAAAAATATGCATTTACGACGTTTAAGAGCAAATTTCAAGGTATATCGAGATATACGAATGATGGAAAGGGAGATATTCGATTGAATCGCAATTAAACAACGGAAATGATTATGCATATCGGTTATGACCAAGTTTTAACAAATACGTAGCGAGCTTTTTAACAAGCTTGATAATGAAATAAACGAGAGTAGAATACGTATTTCCTTATCTATACGTATAAGACTGCAGTTACGTTGGTATATATAAATGTTCACCTCTGCGATTTATATCATAGTATATGTTTTGGTCGCGCGTAGTAAGGATTGAATAATCAAGTCGTTTATCGTAGAAAGATGCATTGTTTAAAATATGGTGAAATAATAATTATGTTAATTATCGTAGCCACGAGTCTCGGTATCAATTCGATCAGCCTAATCGAAATCGATCACGATTCTGGGCATAAAATCATCCCTCCAACACCGAAATTTCAAGGGACATTCGCAGAGACTCACGAGCATGAAACTATCGGTAGGGCAGATACGTGCAATGGCTCATGAAAGTATCATATCATTTTGAAGAGACAAAAGCAAAAAAAAATTTCTCCGAGTAATTTTTAGCACAATTTTTTTTTTTTTTTTGTCTGTAAAACACTTTCGAATACTTTCGTGAGCCGCAAGAGGGAATCGATCGAACGATGATCCCCGATATTCGTACATTAATTTTTGACAGCTAATCGCATAAAATCGTGGAGAAAAACGGACAAGCACAATGTTTGGGAGCTAAGCGGTTTGTACGAAGGAGATATAATGATCACGGACGAGGATGAAATAAAGAATGGCCTGATAAAAACGGCGTTCCGTTGGCCAGGCGGTGTTGTACCCTATTACATAAAGGAGGATGATTTTGGTAATTTGTCGCGTCTTATTAATAAGATTTTCTTATCTTATCGATAGAATTAATAAAAAAGAGATTGCACTCGATTAGACGAAGAAGACATAGAGATGATCAAAGACGCTATTGAGGATTACCACAAGAACACGTGCATACGTTTCCGCCCCTACGAAAAATCTGACAACGATTACATCACCATAGAAGCGAAATCGTCGGGATGTTGGTCCCTGGTGGGTAGACACGATCACGGGCAGGTGGTGAATTTGCAGAATCCGGGATGCGTGCAGCATGGTGTAATTGTACACGAGCTGATGCACGCGTTGGGTTTTTATCATCAACAAAGTGCCGCGGATCGTGACGAATGGGTGACGATCAATTGGGAAAATATAAAGCCAGGTAAAACCGCTCGGTTATATTTGGATTATGATTGGAAAGATTCGATATTGATTGCGATAATCGATCGTTCGCATTGTTCACACAGGAAGAGAGCACAATTTTAACAAATATGACAATCGCACTGTCACGGATTACGGAATCGGTTACGATTACGAGAGCATAATGCATTATAGTTCTTACGCGTTCTCAAAAAATGGCGAGCCGACCATCACACCGAAAGTAAGTAATCGACGAAATGTCCCTTCGAATGTTCTTTCGTTTCTTTTTTCTTTTTACTCGTTCGTATAAATTACATTAGAAGAAAAAGGTGAAACTCGGCCAACGAAAAGAATTCAGTGAGAAAGACATGCTTAAGTTACGAGAAATGTACAAGGAAGAATGTGGCAAACGAGAGATGAATGGAACCGCGGATAACAATTCGACGGATGACATATCTATTGAGTGGATACTTAGTAAGAAATTGTAATTGAATTTTACTAGAATTTAAAAAGTTCGACTTCTTTGTTAAGTATATAAATAAAAATAACAACAAAATATTGTTTAGTTTGGTAAAAAAGAAATTAATATTCATACGTTTTGTTGTCAGATACAAAAAATGAAATGTCAAAAATGTTTAGAAAAAAAAAAAAAAAAAAGAAAAGAAAATGCATCAAGTAACAGGATTTTCTTGATTGTAGTATATCAATTCCTTTAATTCGTTGACTGCATCTTCGGCGGCCTGAAAGTATACACATCCTCTATGTAATATTTCTGTGAGTTTAGTCAAACCATTGACCTAAGTTTTTTATTATTACTTACAAGCCTTACAGCTTGATCGTTGTCCATGATTAAATTTTCTACTAAACTCTTTAGAGATTTACACCAGATTTGTTGTAAAGCTCTACAAGAAAATCTACCCAATAGTCTAATCAGGTGGCAAGTTCTCATTCTGAGTATCGCTTGCCGATGCGTGAGCAGTTTACCAAGCTGTTCTACCGAGTTTCCTTTTTGTGAAAAAAATATTTTCTCGATGTAACAACTGACCGACATTCGTGTTACAAAACAACAACAAAAAGAAACGAAACAAAGCAAAAAAGAAAGAAAATACAATTTCCTGTCGGCAAACTTACCCGATAAATGTGAATGCAATACAACTTTTTCAACGAGATGAGCATTTTCCGGTTGAGAACGTAATATATTGCTTAAAATTGCAACGAGGTCTACGACTACGCGTGCCTTTCTTTTTTCTAAACTCAATAATTGTTGTAGCAACGTCACTCCGTTTACGATATAAACGGCATCACAGAATTGGGTAAGAAACTGTTGTCTATTGTAAACCAATCTGCAAAGTACAAGCATCATGTATTCTAAGGTTTGCAGTTCGTCCGCGGATAACGTGGATGCCGATCGCGTGATTGCATTTGTCGGCTCAGACTTTTTCTCTCCTTCGGGCTCGGAACGTTTCGACATTAAAAGTTTCAAAGAGTAAACGAGATTCGGCACTACTCGAACGTCCAAATATACTTGAGTGATCTTCTCGAGGGAATCTTTTGTCACAGACACAACGTATGGTAGGGACAAAAGACAAGCAACGTATTCGATGACTCGGCAACCGGCTGCAGGATTTCTCAGTGGCGATACGAATACTGACACGCAATTTTGCTGAAGCAACGATCCTACTTCGCCATCCATGATTTCCTCCATGGATCGTTGCAAAAATGCTATCCATTCTTCGTTTTCGATCGGTCTGTCGACAGCTTTTGGATTCCAGTCTGGTATTCTGTTGCCACACGATAGTCCAGCATTGGCTGTATTATCGTCCCGTCGGGAACGTAATTTTTGATTATATGCGTACTCGTTATTTTCACGATCTTTCTCGCTGTGATCGATGTCTCGAGAAATGATCTGTTGCATAAGACGAAATTTACTTTCCTCGATATTTTTCATTTCGATCTTCTTTTGTAATTTCTCTTCTTCTAGATATTCATTCGGATTTCGTTCGCTTACGTAAACCGGTAATTTAATGCTTAACATTTGTTCAAATGTTAAACCATCTTGTTTATTTGTCGAGTCATTACTGTTTGGACAATCACTTTGACATAATGTATGATCTGCTGAGAGTAAATCGCTTTTCAAGGATGCTCTTAGGCTAAGGTTTCCTAACAGTACATCGACACTGGTACTAGAATCCGTTCCACTTGGTTCGCTATGTCGTAAAGTGTAACATTGATTCGTATCATACTGGCAATATCCGTGTGGTATTGGATAACGCGGATATGACGTAAATGTTTTTTGCCGGCGTTCTTCGATTGTTCTTTCATGTTCTTGTAACTTTTTAATTGCCTTCTCCAAAAATCTATGTTATATTGAAATTCTTATTTATTATTTTTTAAATAAAAATGTTTAAATATATACTTATTATATATATACTTTTTAAATAAAATTTTAATATTAAATTATATATAAAAGATATAAAATTATATAATATATACACTAACTGTTACAATTTGAAATTTGAAATCTATTTGTACTGGATCTAAATCTACGAGACGAAATTGATTTTATTTAAAATTTCCTGTTAGTAATAGCATTGATTAGTTAATTATAAAAATAAAGCTTAGTTTCAACAACATGGAGTCAATTTTTAAATTAATTAATCAAAACGAATATTAAAAATAGAAAGATTTGTTAGAATTTAGTATTGAATAAAAAAAATTGAATTTTTTTGATAGAATTTTAACTCTAATATATACATATATATACTTTGACTGATGATCAGTAGGTTGCACCGTCAAATTTTGTAACTGCAACTGTTTTTCTCTAGCTTGACTTGCAGATAGAGGTGTAGTAAATGGTGTGGGTCCAATTTCACCAACTATTACTAGTCTATTTTTGACAAAAGGATGATCTAAAAGAGCTGGCCAAGTTAACCTTTGCGAAGGATCCTTTTGTAATAATCCCTACTAATCAAATTTTCATTGATAAAAATTTTTATTGAAAACTTTTTCATTTGAAAACTTCAAAGTATATGAATAGGTTATAACCTGCAAGAACTGTTTGCAATTTTGTGAAATATAATCTGGCCACTTAATTGCTTCAAATCTTATTAACCTGATTAAATGAAGGATAGAAGTTGTTTGAAAAGGTGGAGACCCTACTACTAATTCATATACAATACAACCCAAAGACCTGGAATCAAAGTGCTTTGCATGTTATATATACTAAACTTTGCTAAATATTTTTAAATTTAATTGTTTAAAAATTAACACACCACAAATCTGCATTATAATCATAAGGGCGTTCTTCTATAAGCTCTGGAGCCATATATAATGGTGTTCCCTTTATAGAAGTTAATACATGTGTGCCTGTACTCATACTGCGAGCAAATCCAAAATCACATAATTTTGCCACTCCATTACTTTCAAGAAGTACATTTTGTGGTTTAAGATCCCTAAAGCAGAAATAATGTTAGTATTAAGAAATATTATAACATATGAAATATCGAACCTGTGCAATACTCTGTTGGAATGCAAATAATAAAGTGCAGATACAAGATCACAAGCTATTACTTGTGCCCTTTGTTCAGATAAACGACCTGCTTTACCTAATATCTCATACAATTCCTTGTCTGCATATTCAGTCACAACAACTATCTGCAGAAAAGATTAGTTGTACCCGAAAGAAAATGCATAAATGCATAAATATAGATGATTCTCAAAAACTATTTTAATACCTCATTTTCTGTTTCAAATGAATCAAGCATTTGAACAATATTTGGATGATGAAGACGACGTTGAATTTCACATTCTTGACGCAAGCTTTTCAATTCCTTAAATGATCTACCACGCTAAATAATTATGTTTGTTATAATATTTACTACTAATGACAAGTCGTGAAAATATGTACAGTTATAAAATTAAGAAATCAAAAGCTTAATTGCGAATTCTTATCCTTTTACCTTCCGAATTACTTTGAAAGCTACAATTTCACCATCGGATCTTTTTTTTGCTTTATATACTTGTCCAAAGGATCCCTCACCCACTTGTTTCAAAACTTCGTATTTTTCCATTGTTTCATCAAATATACTTGCGCACGCGCAAATTTGAGCATATGTATATATATATATATATATGTATGTATATATGTATGTATACTAATATAAGTAAAAAAAAAAACTAGATAATGTTTTTTAAACAAAATACAGTATAATATGATGCCTAAATACGTACTTGTATGTATATGATAGGTCCACAGATGAGATACAGAATAAAATTTAATGGGACTTAATGGGATTCTAAGTTCTGAAATACCAATCGCATAAAAAATCAAAGCGTTTAGTGTGCCCTCTATGATTTAGAGCGATAAGTGCAAAAATTATAATTAATTTAATTATATAAATTGATAAAATTAACAAATTTTAAAAATAATTTCACTAATATATTTTTTAATAATATACGTTTATAAGTATTGTATTCATAGATTTTTTTAACTGTTATATAATAATAAACTCATATATGAATTAAAATTATTCATAAATTAAAAATTATTCTTATATTTTTTATTTACAATGAAAATAATTTATGACATTTTTTATATTTTATATAAATGGAAATTTAAATATAAAGTTGTTGTTAATGTTGGATTTATTTATTTTTTATACATATTGTTAATATATAAATATTTATACATATTATTATATATACTATATATAATACATACAAGAAAATATTTATGATTTTATGAAAATTTGATAAAAAATAAAAATATTCTATTATTAGAAAAAATTATATATATATATAAAGAAATATGAATAAAATATAAATACCTTTGAATTACATATTTAAGATATATAAACATTGAATAGAATAAGATTTTTAATTATTATGTTAGATAAAAAAAACAATAAAATTAATCAACTCCTGGTTTGGAGATATATAAATAAAAAGAGGCTAGATATAAAGTAAAAATTGAATGTTAACGCCATCTTTTGAGAACCAGAAACATTTTTTAGATGCTAGAGAAAGTAAAATAAAGGAATTGACGAACAATATTATTTTTTAAATAATTTTGGAAATAATATTTTTGATATTTTTATATTCAAAAGATGATAATAATTCTTATTCTATTCTACTTTATCTTGTCTTTAAAAAAATGTGTCTGATATTCAAGAGATGACATTAATTGTTAATTTTAACAATTATTTGCTCTTTGATTTTGAATTTCATTTGTAGCACTTTAAAGATAGCATTGATTTCAATAATTTTAATTTTTATTCTTCTCTTATTATATGCACTTTTTATTTACTTTTAGTACATAGTTTCATTGTTTCTTTTTCACAAAACTACAATATTTAATTTTTAATATAAAAAATATAGATATTACATTCTTGGTTTTACAATGTGTTAGAATCACGATTTCATAAAACATATTACACTTAATTTTGTATTGAAATCTAATTTTAATTTCAATCACAACTAAAAGGTTAAGAATGCTTATAATAAGAAACATTGAATATTATTTTGCTATCTTTATTCTGCCTGATAGAACATTGCATGTAATAAACTGTATCTATATATATGATAATATGTTATATATATTGTATGTAAATATATATAAATCTTTACAGAAATTATGTTAGAAATGGAAGTTAAAATTTATAAAATTTAAATATTATTAAATATAAATAAAATAAATTAGATACATATTAGAATTTCATTATTAAATATCAATAATTATTCAGGTTATTAAATTAATAATTATTAATAATAATTTTAAAAAGTTTTCTTTTTTGCTCATTTTATGGAGAAGGGAGAATATAGTGATAGTCTTACTTATATAAAATTCTTTAATTTTAATAACTATACAAATTTAATAGTTATAACTTAATTTTTCTCGATTTCCTCGACGATCAGTATTCCGTTTGGAATGGTCATTAATATCAAATGATTTTTCACTTTTATGAGATTTCGTATTGTTTTTCTTATAGTATGTTCGTGTAGATACATATTTATTTTTTTTATCATAATCATGTTCTCTCGAATGTGATCTCTTACGTTTATAAGATTTTTGTGTCTTATATAATTCGCTAGTTCGTGAATATGTTTCTGTTTCTTTTGAATTTTTTGTATGAGAAATACGTGATTTCTCGAAATATCTATCGTTTTTATCATCTCGAGAGCTAGAATTTCCATGATGATCCTTTAGATCTTTTATAAAAACATCATGGTATTTCTCCGAAAATTCATCAATTAATAAGGCTGAATTTTGCATATTAACATGATTGTTATCAGAACTTTGAATTTCGGTACTAGTTATGGTTTCTATAGTATCATTATTTATGTGTGCATCTGTTATATAATCAACATATAATTGCATTTGCTGATGTATAACTTCTCTCAAAATTTCTGTATGAGATTTTTTATTTGTATGTACACCTCTATGTTTAGCTCGTCGTCTTTTTAAATTACGTTCTTGTATAAGCACTTCTAGAAAGGATAATTTCTTATCTTCTTTATCTGCTTTATCTTCATTTTTTCTAAAACAATATTCAAGTTTTGTAAAATATATACATAGAATTTGAAGAAATAAGCTTTGTTATACAAACTTACTGTTTCTGAATGTCTGTAATATCATGACCAATGTCTGGCTTAATTGTATTTGCCACAATGTAGTCATATAAAATTTTCCTTTCATCACAAGTAAAATCTGTGAAGATTCTATTGGACGTTCTTGGAATTAATCGCTCACCCAAACCTATTATCAGTGTTAAGAATTCATATTTTGAAAGAAACTATAGACTTTAAAGACAAATTAAATAAGAAAACATAAAATAAATATTATTTAAATATAATGTGAATATATATATATATGAAAAGATATAAAAAAGGATATATAGCGCTTGTGCCAAGTAGAACATTCATAATTTGCTGTAAAAAAGGGAGCAATTTAAATCTTCTAAAAATTTTAATATTTTAAAATTTTACATGCATTATACTAACCAATTTTCATAGTTGGATCTCTTTCCTTTGCTTCCCGTAAAATTTTGTTTTGTGTCTTTACATCTATGACAAAAGAAAATTTTAAAAATATTAAATTATTGAGAATTGATTTTTTATAAAATTTATTCATACCTAATTTTATTGATGAATATGAATTTAAGGATAAACTTGATTCAGGCAATGGTATATCAAATTCATTATAACCTTCTTGTTTCCATTGACAACGTTCCAAATGTTGATGTAGATTTTTCTTACTAATTTGATGAGATGAATCATATGGACAAACTAGCTTATTATCATCCTAAAGAAATAAAAAAATAAATCATAATATAATTTTTGTATTTGCTTATAAGAGTATTCATTTATAAGATATCAACATATTTACATCATTTTTTATACTTTCTATTGTCCAATTCAAAGCAGAAGTAATTTTAATAATTTCTTGATCAATTTCTTTTGTAAAATTTATTAATTTTTGATACTGATTTTCACGTTCATTTATCGAAGAATTTAACATTTTTTTATCTTATGTTATCAGAAATACTTATACACACAAAGAAATTAAATTAAAAAAGACTTAAGTAACGCTTTTCTCAAACGAAATTACGTTTCTTATAAAGCTTGCTTTTATTAAACGATTATACTGACATCTATAAGAATCATAAAACAAAATCACAGATAAAATACAAAATAGATACATAACTATATGGGATTTTATGCACCACTTTTTCAAATCATTACCATTTAACAATCATCAGAAAAATATAAATTGTATCACAAATAATAGACATATAAAAATTTGATGGATATTCAAAAAATATATAAATAAGTTTTAATTTAAATCCAATATTTAAGAAACTTTTCTCAAAATCAGAAATATTATTTATATTTCTTGACTGTTCTGTTTGATGATTAGTTTTCTTTACCGTTATTAGATGGTGCATTGATTGTTCTGTTTGAATTTTCTAACATAATTATCAAATTATTTTTTCCATTTCTATATAAATGATAATAATAGTGCATGAATTGTGTTGAAAAGTATATTTTAATTTACGTAATTACAATAATTTAATTTAATTTCGTAGTGAATGAAATATTAATAATAATATATCGTAACACGTAAATATTTCGGTTGAATGAATTTAATTCTTTGAGGTTATATTTAATTTATTATATTTGACTTTTTATTTTTTATTAATTTGAAAAAAAAATTGTGAAAATTATATATTTTATAAAATTGGTAAATTTAATAAACTAAATTTATTACAATATCATATATATTAAATTTATAATTATTATATTATGATTAATATATATTATTATTATGATTAATAATTATATTAATATAAGAAAATATAATATATATATAAATAAATGTAATAAATATAATATAATATAAAATATAATAATAATAATAATAATTATATAATAATATACTATAATATTAATGATTAATTAATAAACTGAAAAATTAATAAATTATTAATTGAATATTAGAAAGAATTAAATTAAAATTTATATTAAAATTTTCGTTCGAAATGTATTATTATCGATATAAACAAAGCGTAACTTGTCGAGCTATTGTTATCGTTTGTGGAAAGAGCACATTTTCATTTCGACCGTCGTTCCGTATAGATGTGTCGACAGACGATCAAATATATTTCGTATATAATTTAAAATCGTGAATTTTCGCATTTAAAATTTATCTTTTATTCGTGAGTGTTTACAGTATATGTGTTTTATTCGCGAAATATTCTGCCTGTGTTTCATTATTAAAATAAACTTGTAAATAGATAGAAAGCTTTTGATATACCAAGTGATGTTATCTACAAATGGTAAGTCTCCTTTGATGAATATTTATAATTTTATAATTTTAAATGTATAATGAATATAATGATAACGAAATTTCAATAATTTTAAATGTATAATATAATGATAGATAATAATAGAATATAATGATAACGAATATTTCAATAATCATATTTCAATATGTATTGATAGTTATTTGATCTTTATTTCATAATATTTTTTTTTAACTGCTTTATTCAATTTTTAAATGTTTTAATTTCAATATTACATTTCATTTTTAACTCGACTTTTTAATATTTTAAAACTATTTATTAAATATTTCAAATTTTATTAAAAGAGTTGTAAAGTTTTATTAGAATTACAAATACGAATTTAATCGAATTTGATCTTATATAGAAAAAAAAATTTTAAAGTATTTAAATATTTATTCTTTATAAATTAAATAAATACGAATTAGAATTATAAAACATGAATTAAAATTTAATAATAGAGAATAAATTTTCATTATTTATTCATGTAATAGAATTTTTTATAATTGAATTATATGAATTATAAAATTATTACTTTATTTCCATAAAATTTCAAACATATAATGTAATGTAATTTCAAATATAATGTAAACATGATATAAACATCATTTTTTATTAAAAAAATTTTGTATAGAAGTATATTCCAGAAAGAGAATTCGCATTTTTTAGCGAATTTCAGAATAAAATAGATCAGAATAAATTTTAATTAAATTCAAACGACATAAAAAATATTTTTTATAACATTTATTTTAAATTATATAATCATATTGCATATATAATCTTATTTCATTCGTAACATTAAATGTTACATTTATATAGTAGAATTTACGAACTTATAATAAAATTAAACTTATAAAAAAATTTTAATGTTAGAGAACGTAAAATCTTTTCTAATATTGATATTTTAACAATACATTTTATGTAACAAAATTCATATAACATAAAATGTTATGTCTATATTTTTTCTATGATACAAATTATTTCATTCTTCACTGAATCGATAACTGTATAAATTGTGAGAGTGTTATAAAGTCACAATTAATCATTTTGTATATATTCATTTAGAATGTAATTCATTTGTCTTTTTCTTTTTATCTTTGTTTGTTTAATGTTTTTGATATTTTATTTAACGTTTTAGAAATAAAATAAATATCGATAGTCGATACCATACCGGCAATCGGTATTGATGTGAAATTCTAAATTGAATCATCTTGTATCTTATGATGTTACCTATTATCGATATTAGATATTTTTATTTGTACATCTGATCAACAGTTGATACAGTAAAATTGTAATTAAACGATTAATTTTATTTTTTATTTATATAGAAATTTATTGTATAGAGATATTTCATTACGTTTCATTACGTGTTCGAAAATGATTTATATCAGTTTCATCTCCTATGAGTTTTGTTCAAATAATAGGAAAGAAATGATCGATTCATTTAAAACATTAATTTGATCAAAGTAAGCAGATAACAACGATTCGATAATGTACAATTTATTGCAAACCATCTAATTTATTACGTGCGATAAGTGTTTACGTTAATATTTAATGGAGCACTTTAATGGTGTACGCAGGTGCGGAGACGTCAGTATTGTTTACCCTCGAACCACTACGTATACTTTAGGGATTTGTTAACGACATTGCTTTAAAACGTAATATTAAAGATTTGTTTTTTTCACTCAAGTTTATACGTAGAACGATGTAAACGTTTGACAGATTTTATTAAAATAATCCTTATCTATGTTTCGCGCGTGTATGAATACGTGTCCACGATTTATTCGAAGATTTCTCTCATCTCTCGTAGACTGATTTAAAAGTTGTCGATGCGGATAATAGTTGATTCGTGTTTACATCAGTGATTGATGGTTTTTTTTTTTTAAATTGAACGAAAATATTATAATATATATGAAACGAAAATAGTTTTCGTTTAGTAGTTTAAATGTGACCGATGCATGACTGATGCTATGGAAATCTGACAGTTAATCGTAGGAAAATTCAAATACGTAATGATCCTTTCCCGGTCTTAAGGAGTAGACGTAATGTGCGTATATTTACTTTAGTACCCACCTGTTGCCGTAACCCAGTTTCTTACATATACCGACGGGGAAGTTTTTCAACTTTCCAAGGATTCCTGAAATTCTCGACTTTTATAGTATGTGTGTGTGTGGAAAGACAATCGAATTAGAAGGCATTGCATTTATGGTATCATTGGTAAAAAAAATCGGTAAAAGAAAAATAGAGAACAACAATCGATCACGTGCATTTATAATAAACGATTTTTGAACTATAAAAAACTATAATTTTTGAACTATAAAAAAATAAGAAATACTCATTTGATATCGGATTTATACGTTCTTTCATATCCATTTTATATCACTCGAATTATTATTCCACGCAAGATGGACCATATTTTTGACTATATTTTTCACGTAAATTTGAATGAAAAATCTCTCTAGAGTTACTTTTGAAACTATTTTTCGCAAATAGAGATTATAGATATCATTTGATAATGATTGATTTAGTGTTTATTAGGGAGGAAAAAAAAAAAAAGAATCTGGGGAAATTAAGAGAAAGATGAAAATTTAATAGAAGATTATTTACACGCATATATATAGATGTCCTATTTACAAAAATAAACAGTTTGATAAAATAAATAAATAAATAAATGGATGTGATAAACAGTTGAATAATGAAAAGATGGACGAATAGATAGATAGATAAATAGATAGATAGGTGGATAGGTATGTAGTGGGTAAAAGAGGAAGAAAGAGGGGCATGGCGCGACGCGTCATTGCACGTGCACGTGCATTGATACCGATATTTATGCCCGCCAGTTAATCATGTCAAAGTCGTTTGATTTGTCGTTGGCTTTTATGGAGGGGAATTAAAACGTTCATTTCGCCGCAGACACTCGGCAACAGTGTGCTCGTCCTGCTACCGTTGCTGGTATGGTTACTGGGTGCCGCTGTTGCTGCTGTTGCCGCGATTGCTCTATGAATTATTTTCTGGACAACCCTTGCCCGATGTAACAAAAGGGGAGGGAGTGCTTTTTGGAAAATTACAGTATCTCGTTTACGTCGAAAATTCGTATCTGTGTCGTGTCCGTTGTGTTTCACCGTGGCAAGTCGGTGGAACCTATTGCGACTCGATGGCGCGTAAACGAAGGAGAAGTATCGTGTTGCTCGACCTTCGGGCGATATTCGAAGAAATTTGACACCTCGGGAAAAAAGTATATATCGCGTAAATGCTTAACCTTCTGCTTAAATCGTTCCAAGTTATCGTGACAGTCTTCTTTTCGTTTAACTCATTGTAACGAATTCATCGTTCGTAGATGAATATTTCTAAATATTGCAAAAATAATATTCGGTTATATTATTTTTTACATTTTTTATGAAAAGAGGACACAGGCGTGGATAAACGTGGACGATTCCGGTTAAAAATACCGGTATCGGTAAGGAAGGGTCGTTTGCAACGGAGGAGGTTGGGAGGAGGGGAGGAGGAGGAGGAGGAGGAGGCGAAAATTCTGAAGACGTGTGAACAAAGTTAGTAGTGGGTGGATGGGGAGGGGAGAGGAGGGGGGACGAGAAGGATGGCGGGTGGTCCCTTGCGTATCGACAGCCGTCCGTCAAGGTGGTCGGTGACACGGTTGAAACGGAACGAGAGCTGGGGAAAAAGTTGGAGAGGAACCGACATCCTCAGTCTCTTTCTCAGCCAGGCTGAGGATTGGTCTACCGAGAATATCGGGCAGAGGAAGAGGACAAGAGGACAAGAGGAAGGGAGGGGAGGGTGGAGGAAAGGAGCACGGAAAAGGGGGAGGAGGGAGAAGGGTGGTAGAAAGATGGAAGGTGGAAAAGAGGAGGCAGTAGCAGTCGGCATCAGCTAGGTCCGCGCACTTCTATCACGTTGGGCGAACGGGCGGACAGCTCTGAAGCGATTTGTCTTTCATTTCGGGCTAATTTATTGCGCCCAAGCAGCTCCCCTTTCTCTCTCTCTCTCTCTCTCTCTTTTTCTCTTCCTCTTCTCGCGGCGTTTCTTACTCGCTTGCATTCCCACCACCACCACCACCTCCACCACCCCTCTGTTCGTGATCTCTGTTTCTTTCCCTCCCATTCTTTCTTCCCGTGTCTCCTCTCGTCTTTCCAGCGCTATTCTCGACTCCGCACCATTCAACCACGCCCCACCCAACTAATGTCCCACATAAAACTTGGTATCAGCGATCCTCAAACGGGGATTTACAATCCCTTCAAGCGCCGCTGTCACGATAAATCCTCCGGGGCGACGTCGATATATCTCGCGCGCGAATACTTCTGTCCCTAATGGATACCCCCACGGTACATACAATGCACGTCGAAGCTGAAACCAGTCTGAATCTTTCCTACGTCCGCTCTAATCGATTCGTCCTAGGGCCCCTCTCCCCTTTCCCTGCTCGCTCCATCCATGTTTCGTGTAGTGTATCACCTATCTCAGTTTTTCCGAAAGAGTCGAGACTATCATTGTCGACTAACTTTAGATTCCTTCGCTTCGTTCTTTTTTTTTTTCTTCCCCTCTACGCGATCTTTTATTTTACTTTTCTTTTCGTTCCGTTCTCTCTCTCTCTCTCTCTCTCTCTTCTTTCTTTCTTTCTTCTTCTCGATCGAGGCGAAATACCTTGGAAAAAGATAAGAAACTATGGAAAAGATCCGCGTGAAAACGCATTATCCAGGTAATAACGCCATCCTATTAGGGTATAGTCGTCGCCGACAGTTAATAAGAGTAAAAGCGCGCGTTCGCGCAATTAAGAGTAGTAATAAGCGCCTTAAGGCCAATAAGATGTTTCCTAATGGAACTAGCTAACAGCTTCGAGCCAATTACCTAGGCGCGCATTAAAACGAACGTAGAGGTTCGCCGATACGATATGCCCTCCCCTCCCCTCCCCTCTCTATACTTGGTTCGAACATATATACTCACCCGATTGTATCCGATTTCGATCTACTTATGGCATTCTCTGTTTGTATTGA